ATGACACTGAAGGCATCGTGCTTCTCTCCCAAGGGAGGCGGCTGGGTTTTCTGGGTTTTAAGGTGAGAGGCCTGAAGGAACCAATGGCTAGCTCTTGAATTTTACAATGTGGAGAAGACCCAGAGAAAGGAGATGAGGTGTTGGAAGGTAACAGAGGACTGAACAATATCCTCCTGGGGCTTTGGCATGCTCGGGTGTGGGGGGAGGTCAGATGCTTACAGACCTCCTCCCTGAAGGCAGTTAGTTGCCAGACTACAGGGTAGGCCCCACTCCCTGCAGTTCAAGGACAATCATTGATTTGGTTCCTGTAGGTGGAGTCCAATAATGGTCTATCAGGTGAGCCAGGGAACAGGTCAAACCAGCTCTGTGACATCCAAAGTTAGGCTGCCATCCTGAATCTAGGATCCGCCCATCTTGTCACATGTATACCCCCAATCCCTCCTCTTCCTATTGTGTGTATATCCCTAGATTGTCCCCCTCTTATTGCTGTATTACCTATGGTGCAGCCCCTTCCTGTGATGTATGTCTTTACCTGTAATTACTGGGCTTGCACACCCCCCAAAGGTATGTAAGACTGGGTTAGCAGAGGTGAGCAATGCTACCATGAAATGTGTCTGACTCCATTATTGTAATATCTCTTTTATGTCTCATGCTCTCGATGACTTTAATATAATACTTATATATTACAACTGTACAATTGTGCTTATTGAACCTGTGACTAGCGGTGGGGGCTGCCCCCGCCCCTCACTGCCTCCCCCACCCCCCTCATACCACATTCAGGCAGAGGGAAACACCAGGAGGAACAACGACAAGGCCAGAGTACAAAACCAGACACATACAAAGAAGGGCTTTAAAGAGAAAAAGGAAACTTCTGAGTCCTAATCCTAGTCACATAATTTTGAGCCATTGAGCCAGTGTGCTGACACGGGACTGAACTGTCTGTCTCTCTGAAGCAGGAGGGAGTGGAGATGAAGGGTTTTCTTACCAACAGCATCAGGAGCCTGGTTCCAACAGAACTGGAAATCGGACGCAGAGGGTTGAACCAAAAAAGAGCCACCATTAAATGGGCAAACCTTTTTATAGATGGAACTGTCTGCAATGAAACAATAGCGACTCATGTTTGTTA